AGGTGGGTGAGGAGGGATGTTGGGGGATGTGGGTCAGTGTGTGGGTAGTTGTGGGGGGACTGTTCACTCCCCCGCCCAGCTCCAGCCTCCCACACTGCCCGCAGCTTACCAGTAGCAGCGGCGGTCAGAGCTGCGCAGGGTCTCATGTCACAGCCCCCTGGTGTGGCACAGAGCATTGGGGGGCAGTGGGGCTCGGCCCTGGCCACCTGGCACCTGCACTGCAGCTGCCGCATCATGTGGGTGCAGCCCAGCTCAGCAGGGCATCACACACTGTCTGGAAGCTTCGGGGTGCTGTGGCTGTCACTGGGGGCTCAGAGCTGCTTTGCCCAAGCTACCTGGACTTCTGAGATGGAGTGCGGCACCCTGCCAAGCTGGGCCGCACCTGCATGATGCAGCAGCAGTGGTGCCAGGCAGCTGGGCCTGAGCCTCACTGCCTCCCATGCAGCGGGGCTGTGCCATGAAGCCCTGAGTGGCCCTGACCTCTGCTGTTACTGCCGGTGATTGCGGGGGGGCTGGGGCCAGGTGTGAGAGTGAGTGGGGGGAACAAACAGGGAGTTGGGAGAATGAATGAGGGTGAGGCGAATGAATGGGGGCTGGGGCTGGGTGGCCCCCCCTGGCCCCCACCCTCCTCCAGCCCCCCAACCCCCTACTTACCTGGCATGAAGCCAGGTCCAGGTAATTGCAGCTTGCACCACTGCCTGCCCTGCACGGGCAGGCAGCGTGCTTCAGCACCAGGCCAAGAGCCAGCCATAGAGAGCCCCTGGCTGGCTATCAATGTGTCACTGTGGAGGACCAGGCCTGTGGTTGCCTCGGGGCACAGTCCTGGATCATGCCTCGCCTTGCTTTTTTTCCCCAGGGCACTTTTTGACCCCTGGGTATGCATGCCCAGAGAGGGGAAGTACTGTACCCACTCTACTCTGCCTGGCATGCTCCCATAAGAAACAAGTCCAAATGTTTCTTTGGATATGGAAGGCTATATTCCATCTCATTATCATCCCAGGTTCTTTATGAAGTCCTATGGCATCTTTGTAATGCCCTGAAAGATAGCTGACTGTTCTTTGGAAGCACATGTTTATGGTAGAGAAGTCTGTTCCAGGTACATACGCTGGAGCTAAGTAGAATGTTTTGAAGCACAGTAAGCAACGAGACATATGTTTTCAAAAATAAATAAATAGGAGTATGCTTCATAATAAAGGGAGAAGTGGCAAATATAGTTGTGCAGGGTGCATACTTTTATACAGTGCTGACATTTCTTCTAATCCAGAATAGCATAAAAACAACATTTCCACATTTCCTAATAACTGAATTTTTTAAAAACAAAAACCATCAAATACAAAAGAACCCTTTGGATTGAAATGTTTTGTTTTGTCAAAATGAAATGTTTTATTATATTATACTCTACTATCCTCTGCTATACTATATTAACCTATACTGTATCAGGAACATACAAACATAAGCAGTACAAATCTAAGTTAGATCAACTGTCCATCTCACCCAGGCTCTGACAGTAGCAAGAGTAGATGCTTTAGAGGGAGAGCACTGAACAATATATACCTAGTGTGATCTGTCCCCTATTCATTATTCTCCCTGGCAGCCATCACCATTGGATTACTGTTCTTTAATATCTATTAGTGGATCTGTCATCTATTCATTGGTCTAGTCTCTTTTTGAACCTGGCTCTACAACCATTAGCCTCTACAACTTCCTGTGTTAAAGAGTTACACAAGTTAACTTTGCGCTGAGTAAAAAAGTAGTTTTTTTACTTGTTAGTCACTAATCTGTCTCCTGCTCTTTCAGTGGGTGCCCCCTAGTTCTAATATTCTGGGATTTGGTAACTTTTTCCATCAGAAAATTTCCAGTGAGCTCTATTACCTATACGTAACTCCTACCTGCCTTGGTTATCAGTACTCCTTCACTAATATCTTAACACTTGTTATGCTCTGTTCTTCACAAATGATGTTAGTGTTCAGTCACTGGGGCTAATTCTTCCCTTGTTTGTAAATCAGAAGGGATCTCACTGGGGTCAGTTGAGCTACACTGCTTTTCTTCAGTAGGAGGAGACAATCAAGCTATCTTTGGCCTCTGTTATCATCTCTGCCACTACCATGCCTTTGAAATGGAGGAATGTTTGTTTTAGAAGTGGTACTATGGTGGGTTTATTTTCTGATCCATCCTTCTTCAGGGGGAAGCAGGGATTGATGGAATGAAAGGAGAGAAGGGTGTCCAGGGTGAAAAAGGAGACCGAGGTCCACTGGGATTACCCGTAAGTATCTAGGAAGCAGAGAGAACTTGGCAAACTATACTTAGTCCAGTCATAAAAAAATTGATAAATAAGTTTCAAATAAGAATTTGACTTTGTAAAGTGAGATTTAGGGAGCAAAAGATAGCCTATAAATTGCTATGGTTTTTGCATTTTAGTGGTAAGCGAGTCTGCAGGGTTTTAGGGAATTAGGATAGGCACCTGAAGCTGCAGAATCTTCTCTTTTGGGCCTGTTAAACTAGAGGACTCTTTAGAAAAGGGTCCCCTGTATTGTTCTTTCTTCTAATTGGGTTGGAAATGAAACAGAATCAGTTTTTGGCACTTCTCTTTCAGTCCTGGCTGTAACCTTAAGCCAGAGATGTTAATCATATGGCCCATAGGCTGGATTTGGCCCACAGAACCTCTCTATCCAGCCCATTGGAGGGCACCATATGTTGGACCCTTTGGCGCTGTTGGGCATGGAGATTGGCAATGAGCTTGGCTCACCACTACTGAACCCTGTGCTCCTGCCCACCCCACCCATACTAAGATCTGTGCTCCAGCCCCTGTGAGACCCTGCACTGGCCCTGCTGCTGCTGGATCCTCCACCGCCCCCACTAGACCCCACACCGCTGTTGCAATGGCCACTAAGGCAGCCCATGTGCCCTAGGTTAGATCCAGCCCAGCAGGATCTAACCCAGCCCAGTCTGGGTCCAGGTTGGGGCCCCAAGTGAGTTTGATATCCCTGCCTTAAAGTTTGGAGATGTGCTAAAGTGAAAGAAAAACAGCCTGCTGAGCAATTTGTAACCTGAAAAAATGTTTTGGTTAGTGTGGTTCTTATTTTGTCCATTGAAGTTCACCTATCCCTATCATTTCTATCATAAAACCTGAAGGCCTCCCAGAAGCAGGAAATGCCTGACTAAAATGTCACTTTTCACTTTTATATGTAGCAAGTGTAAACTTGTTAATATAGTTGTGATTAAACCAGTGTTACTGTGCAACTCACATATATGCTATCAAAGAAGCTCTAGTGAAAATCCTTGGAGTTTAGAATCAGAGTAGCTTTATATCAAATCCAATCAGGTTTGAAAGGAAAGGCCCTGAAATTTTTGTTTATTAACAAAAAGCACTCGGGTGAAAGCACCAAGTTCACTTTTATTGAACCTTTCTGCCTGGAAACAATACTGCAAAGAGGGCATTTTCCATATCTGTGTGATGTTGCTATTTTTGTTGGCCTTTATCACCCAGACCCCTTGTCCAGTTTTGTCTGGAAATGTGCATGTCTTTGTTTATTACTGTGTTGAAAAATCATGTTTAAAGCAGTGATGTAATAAGTGACTTCAAAAACGGACACAACACATGAGAGTAGGAGGGGAAGCCCTTCGCACAAATAGGTGATTCATACGTTTCCTTTTTGTCCCAGCCACCCACAGTTCTCAGTGGCAATAAAAGTAAAAACAAGCTGCTTCTCAGGGGAGTTTTAACAACGGTGGAAAGCAAGAACCCTTTGAATATCTAATTTGCCTTCACAAACAACTTAATCATAAATGCTAAATAATTTTTTTTCACTCGTTTGTGACTAAACTAAACTAAAGCTGAGGAAGTTGCTGTGAATATGTGAACCAATGACACAGGAGTATGTTCACATGATGCACAGAGAATTAATCTGACAACTCCTAGTAGTGGGAGTGCTGTGAAGGATTCTCTTGAGGCAGTTGTCCCTCTCTGAACAGGTAGTCCCAAGTATCCTTGATACTGTGGCATTTGTTTTGACTCCGTTTCAGCCTGTTTGAAATTATTTGGCTTTTAAAGCTACAGCTCCTCTTTTTTCTAGGTATCAAGCCCATTTCTCTTACAAATGTTTAATGCTTGGCAGTTCGACTAAAGCCAGTTAACTAATAAGGAACTATGTTCTTTATTAATGAATCCCCATATTTCCACCTGGAAGCTCACAGAATTGGGGATGGCTCTCCAGCACCTGTGGCAGATAGTCTGTAAATTCTAGGCATCTAGACTGCATTCTACTACCAAATGGTGGAACTCATTTCAGAATTAATCCATGACGATGCACTGTCTGTCCCAACAGTGCCAGCTTGGTACTGTTGTTAGAAGGGTCTATAGCACCTGCATTACATTGCCTTCTCTGTTGCCTAGAAAAGCACAGAACAAGTTCATTCACTTTTGTTAACTATCAGGCCATACTTTGGTACAGCATGAGAGGGAATAATGTATTTTCAAGGGGATCTTAAAGTCACCAGTCAACAGTACTTACATTCAATGTCTCTATGTTTTTGTTGGTTTCCTTGTAAGTACCATCACCTGTCCTTGAGGTCTGAGTTTTTGTTTATTGCAAGCATATGTTTGTCTCAAGTCACTTCACTCACCTCTTCCCTCCCCCTTTCCTTTTCCTTCCCTCACCCCCTTTCCTTCCTGCCTTTTTTGTTAACCCTTCCCCATCTGTTCAGGGTGCCTCAGGTTTAGACGGCAGGCCTGGACCACCGGTGAGTTCCATTTCTCCATTACCCTCCATTCCTCTTCTCTGATGCTATGATTCATCTCGTCTGTCCTCCCCATGGCCTTGTTTACGATATGACTAACTTTCTTTTCTCTGAACCAGGAAAGAATAAGTCAAACTGATAAATTAAGACACACCTACTGACAAATGAAAAATCACATTCTTGTCAGTCTCAATATTGTCTGTCCATCTGGGATTAGGAAATTTAGCTTTAATCTCGTCCTTTCAAATATTTTGTAAATATGGATACATTATTGCCATAATTATATTAAATGAAGCCTATGCAGGAATCTGTTGTACTATGTACTTCTGTCCTCATATTGTGAAATGTCTCCGTTTTGTCTTTCCCCATGGTAGCTTTGCTTATAGCCCTCTGCAACAATGACTCCCCAGATTTGTCTTGGGCCTAACAACACCTTGTGTTTTGTCCTGTGAGCAGAAGGCTTTGTTGTTCACTGTTTTCACATCTACCATTTAGGGTTGCATTGCAGTGGGTTGCAGGAACCCTCTCCCAATTATCTGACATGCAGCCCGCCAACAGGAAGAGATGCATCCTTTCAGCAAGCATAAAAGCCTTCACCAAGTCCTAGAAACCTGGGGTGGAATTTTTTTTAGTACTGATTCCATTCATCTGGGATATAGTGGTGTCTAGTGGTTGAGCGGGAGTCTGAGAATCAAGAGTTATATGTTCTGCCCCCAGCCCTATCACTAACTTACTGTTATGTCTGGGTAAGTCACTTAACCTCTTTGTCCCTAAGTTTCCCAGCCTGCAAAACTGGAATATAAATAATAAATCATAACACTCTTCCAGTTTTACAAATCATTTGTTACTCCTGGACAAAAAATGCTATGTAAGGGTGTAGCATTTTTATTGCTTCATAGAATGACACGTCCTCCAATTATAATCAGATTTGGTGTTATTCAGAAACAGTTTGTTTTTCCTTTTTCAGTGGAACAGGAAGTAATTCCATTGCTCTTTAACTCCTGCCAAACAGAAAATAAACAGCAACCTCCTTATTTGCAGGAAGTTATATACTTACTTTTATGAATATGTGTATTAGATATTCTAAATATCTGTTTAAATATCTAAATAAAGTTCTGATGGATATTTAAGGAAACAAGGTCTTGAATGATCTTAAAATGACACCCTAAGAAATCCTTACCTCTCACATAATTCCTGGGCCATCGAGGCTACAACATCACTCTGACACTTTCCTAAAACAACAGAAAGATATAGGAAGTTAAAATACGTATGATATATTTCTGAAGGATTATGGGGATGATTTTTTTTTACCTGTTTACACTGATGCAGTGAAATTTGTGTGTTTCATAATAAACTAATTCTCCAGCCAGATTCAGCAAATTCTTACTTAGACACATAATCTTCCTTAATGACATGAGTCATCTTTTGGGGGTAAGGATTATAGGATCATGATTAAAGGTCCCTTTTCCTTCAGACAAAGGGATTAACTAGTGTAAAATGTGTACTGGTTCCAAAAGGATGCCCAACTGTCAGATAATGAGTTTTTCTAGAATTCTAGGAAAGAATTGCTGGAATTGGAACTTGGATGACTGGCTGGTTTTTCACCGACCCAGAATAATAGGATTTGATTTATCATGGAGTTAAGAAGATAAGTGTACCATTAGAAAGGTTTAGGAAGGTGTTCTGAGATCTCTTGGTCTTTGCAAATTTGAGATATCTGCTTTACTTAGCTGGTAAAATTGTGTCAAGGAGAATGCTAGATGTTATAAAGCAGAACGAACACTCAAATGCCCTGTTTCATAGGAGTGAATCTGGGGTCATACTAAATGTAAACCATGTGAATCTCCACAAAAGATAGGAATAAGTTTTCTTGTCTTTAAGAAGGATAACACTTTTCTTGGGTAGAAGAGCTGTTACCCACCCACTGTAGTGTTAATGCAAAAAAAACAAAAAAAAAAAACGACCTAAATGGGGCTGATTAATTAGCTAACTTGGTAAACTCCAATAAGCTTCAGCACAGCTGAAAAATTTTGTGTGAAAGTGGGAGGTTGCTCTTGGGCTAAAGGCTGAGCATAGAGACTGGGTTTTTCTTATGGCATAACCTAGGGCCTGGTAGAACAGTGTAAATGGTGAAAGGGTGGACAGAGGACTTAGAAATGAATGAGTACTCTCTCTTCTGTTTGCATCCGTGTATGTGTGCATCTGCACTAGTCTCTGCGGCATGGTGACCTTTCAGTCTGCATGGTGAGCTAGCTGCCTACCAAAAAGTAATGCAAATACTTATTTAGTTTATGCTCAACTGAACTGACTCAAACAAACAGACAAAACTGCTTAAAAATATGTCTACCTGGCCTTCATTCTGCTACAGTTTTCAGCTTTGTTGGGGGTACAAAGAGAACAGTAAAATTTCACTCATTTGATTTATAAAGGGGTGTATGTCAATATTATTTTTAATACCTACACCCTAAAATAATGCAAGGCTCTGTAATATTGTACCAGTCCAATCCATTGTACCTATTCCTGTGTTTTTAATGGTATTTAACAGTTACTGAAAACCCATCCTCATCAGCCCTGAAAGCTGTAGTAATACAAGTGATGTCTCACATTAACTGGAATCTCCTTCTCAGCTGTGCTTTTTCCTCAAGGAGCCATGCTGTTTCCCAGATTTGAAGAAGTTTGTTGAAAGACACGGGTTTATGGGTTTTTGTTTTCTAAAATTGCAGGGTACTCCAGGACCAATTGGAGTTCCAGGACCAGCAGGACCAAAAGGGGAAAGGGTAAGTTTGCTTTAAAACCAAACCTTTCCCAGCCCCTCCACCACCCAATGTCTTCAAAGCTGCTACACCTTCTTTAGGGAGGGGCTTTTTGTATTTTGTGAATGTGAGCCCTTGAGTTGGTCCTTCTTTTATTTTTAATAATTAGTATTTTAGATGCCTGGAAACAATATATCTTTTACATTATTTCTAGCACTGTTGGTTCACCCACCTGTCCATAATATCAACCTGTCAATATTGTCTACAAATAGAAGATTCTCTTCTTTTGTCTCTTTTTTAAGGGAAGTAAAGGAGACCCTGGAAATGCAGGACCAATGGGACCAGCTGGGCTTCCTGTAAGTAGGGGATCTTTGGTTGTTTTGCCATGTACAAAGCCTTAATGTTATGGCATCACTTCCAGCAGAAGAATACTCTGTGGCAACAAAAGAAAATGTTCTTTTACTGCCATAGTAGCATCTATATCAAGTTGAGGCAATAGTCAAAGGGAAACCCCAATTCAAACTTTCAATTCAGTAGACTTGTCTCTGTGTCCCAGTACCCCCTTAATGATGTTATAACTTCCCAAATAATTTAAAACAATTGGAATAATAGGTAAAGACAAAATATATAACATTACATATATCTTGAAACTACTGACCTAAAGCCAAAACTATGCCTACATTATTTATCTATTATACTATAGTGCTGGTATTGAACACCTCCCATTCTAAGTATTTGGTGTTCCATTTGAACGCAGTTCAGAGGACTTGAGGATTCATCTTGGAACCACAGTCACACAAATGGCCTGTCAGTCACATTACTTACATAACATTTTTACTCATAAAGATATGGGATTGCTGGACTAGAACCTTCACTTTAATCACAAGACTGCTTCATTTCTAAAATATAAATGAAAGTTTGTTGGTTGGCTAATTTTTAATTTGTGCCCTTTTGAATCATATGGTTCCTTGGTTCCTGTGCTAAGGATAATTTTGACTCAGTAAACAAAGGGATCTATTTAGCTGACACTGATTTAAAATAGTGTCATTTTTTTCTTGATACTTTTTAGGGTTTACCAGGCCCACCTGGCGACAAAGGAAACCGGGTAAGTCCTGAACCACAAGTCCTTGCATTTGGTTACTAATGTCTTCTCATAGCGGTGGAATGATTAACTTTTGAACTACCTAGGGAAAACTAGGATAAAATCCTACCTGGTAAACCTGTTGCTTACAGATTGGTCTTTTACAGTGTGATTTCTCCAGTTTATGCAATATATTATAGCCAAAGATATTATTTGAACTTTAAAGTATACAGTTGGGATTTTCTAAAGTACTGATTGGCTTATCCCTTTCTCACTGAAGTGAGAATTTTATCATTGACTTCAACAGAAACAGATTTAGGCCAGCACTGAGGGATTTTGAAAATCATACCTTATATAGTAAGATGGGCAGAGGGGCAAACTAAGAACTCCTGAGATTAGTGAAGATGGTACAGCTCTTAGCACATTGCTCTTAAATTACTCTGGATGGTGAAAAAGAATATCAGCTACTATGCTGCACCACAATGTCTTTCAAGGGTTTCTTAGATTTAGAATTTTTTAGGTGAACATGGAAATATGGAGATCAAATAAATATGAATATATTAGAGAACACGGTTGTAAGGTCTTGGGCTCCTTATTCAGGCTTTTAGATGAATTAGGGTAATAACAGTGAGATAAGGCACCAAGTTATGTAAATTTATGTACATGATAAAGGAAAGAACTATGCCACGCTGTATTTTTAATGGATAAAAACATTTCTAAACCCTACTTTATTATATTATTAGCGTCATGGGAATTCACGCATATGCTTTCTATTTTATATATTATTTGAATCCTTTGATAACAGTAGTAAAGAGATTTACAGCTAAGTATAGTTTATGCACACCCATATTTTTTATAAGGTGCTGATACCACATGGACATTAATCTGAAATAGACTAAAGTAGTGATGGCGTATGTGCAAAAGTAGCTTTATGGATGTATTTTCGGATAACACCTAGGGAGTGCTCATTCTCCCTTTTTATCATCTGGAGTGCTCTTCTGATCTGGAATTGAATAAATTAAGAGTTCTGAAAAGTACTAGCCAGTCAGCATGTTAAATGAGGAAAGAGAGTCCAAATTTCTTTCACTTCATGGCAACTCCAAGGTGCTGCCACAGTTTTAATCATTCCACTTCTGATTTTGCTTTTTAACTCACTATTTATTTTATTAAGATTGTATTATGTTTCTAAATAAGAAATAACTTTAACAGAATCCTTGGACTTTTTCAGTTGGTTTTAAATATGGATAATTTATTTTAAAGGAGGGCTTTTGTTGGTTACAGTAGGAACCAATTTAGGCATATGTGACTTTATTGTTCCCTTCCCATAAAAGTAAATAAAGAGTAGGAAGAAGTGCTTCTTATCACAGACTGCAAACATGGAGTTTCATTGGCCCCTGGAAAGAATAATTGGACTGAAATGCAACAAATGCTTTGAAAGAAAAACACTTAGGAAACTTGTTTGGGAATGTGCAATACCACAACTTTTCAGGTCTGACCTTTAAATGTAACTTTTACCACTAGCATTTTAGATAAAGGCTTCTCCTTATCCCACAATCCTATTCACAGATGATTAAAAGGCCTCTCCATAGAGAAACTCTTGGAAATTAAAGTAAATGTTACAATTTTGAAAGCATCCATTATAAAACTGTGTTGTTCAACTGGAACCACTGCAGAGATCTTAAAGGTTCTGAAACATGGGGGCTTCTATGATATCTAATTTGGAATCAAGCCAACACATGGTAATCTCTCTTTAATGCCACCGCTTGGTCTCTATAATTATGGTGTAGTGTATGATCTTGGAGCAGGGATGAGCATCATCTACAGCACTGGTTCTCAGCCTTATTATACTCATGCACCTCTACATAATCTTTGTGAACTGACAGGCACCATTTCATAACTAATTTATTACAGAGCTTACCTCTGTGCAGAATGGCCAGGCAGTGAGGGTTGAGGAACAGCCAGCCAGGGATGAGCCTGAGCCTGTGCTTATCTCCTCACACCTGGTGATCTTCTTACACTTTGTTACCCTTCAAAGGATTTGGGGGCACCTGGTTGAGAATCACTGACCTCCAGCATGCCTTTTGCCATCATACGTGCATATCAGAGAGATGCTGTAGAAATGACATGATGTGGGCTTTTCTAAGTCATTTTAATCTTGGCAAAAGTGGTGAAGGATATCTGGAAGGATAACTGATAACCAAACTATTAGGGATCTGCTGAAAGACGTAAAGAATGATAGCAAGAAAAAAGTTTTTTAAATACAAAATCCTTTTGATCCACGGAGAGAGACTTGCTACAACAGGACATTGGGAAGACAGCAGTGTAATTAAGTAACTACAAGCACCTGCCTCATGCAATAGCTTCTTTTCCAGCTAGATTATGTGTTAATTTTAAATGCTCCTTTAAAAAAAAATCTAATACCAGTAACATAAATGCCAGTAAGATAAGGGTATATTCACCGTACCTAATGGATTGAGAGTAGGTTCTGAAAAATCCACTCCACTTTCCAATCATTGTAATTTGGCAAAATCAGTTCTCAGACTGTCTTCAAAATCTTCCCAATTGCAGAAGGCAGAACAATGTCTTTTTTATTTCTTCTGAGCAGAGCCATTTCTTCACTATAGGAGCTGTAATAATAGCCTTAAGAGACAATTCAGGCCTGAAAATGCTGTGCTATGGAACAGCTGAAAAGCAGATCCTGGAACAGGACTGCCTTTCAGGCAAACCAGCTGAAAAAGTGTAAAGCTTTAAAGCCTCATGTGTTGTTTTTTTTTTAATATCTGTATTTTTTTCTTCTCCTGTGTATGTGTGTCCATGTGTGTTCCTTGCTTTGACAGGTCCTCCTTTGTCCCCTTTATCCCTTCCTCTTTTTTTGCCTTTCTCCTGGGTCTTTCCTCTTCCCACCATTGCAACCTGTACCACATTTTCTCCTGGATTATCCTCTCTGTTCCAGTGCTTGATCCTGGGTGATTTCTCCTCATTACCTCTCCTCTCCCATCCATTTCTCTTGCCAGTTTTGACTTTATTTTACTCATCATCCCACTTTTTAAAAAAAAATATATATACATCTGCTGCCTGGTGTTATTTGTACCTTCTAACCCTGACCATTGAAATCCTAAATAAAAATCCCTCTTCAGCAAGTCTACCTCTGTTTTATACGCAACACTTTTGAGAAGTTCTTTTTTTATTCAGCCACTCATTTTTAAACATATTACAAAAGTATTTTGCATATGTGTTTTCTAACAATTAGATAACCCTAGCCTGTCTTTGATTTGCACTCAACATTTGCAATGACTTCAGTGAGAACGAGGGTGAAATTTTCCCCTGAG